TAGTAGTAGTAGTAGTAGTAGTAGTAGTAGTAGTAGTAGTAGTAGTAATAGTAGTAATAGTAGCAGTAAAATTAGTAGTAATATTAGTAGTATTAGTAGTAATAGTAGTTATAGTTGTAGAAGTAGTATCAGCAGTTATAGTAGAGTAATGGTAGTTTGTAATATTATGAGTAGTAATATTTATATTTTAATAATTAGGGTCCAGAAGTTCGTGAACTAAAAACTATCAAATTATGCACTTAAAATCACTAAAATATGCGTTAAATTTGCAATTTTTTTTTTTTTTTAAATTCAAGTTATTTTTAATTTTGGTCAAAATAATAATTAAAAGATGAGGAAAAACATACACAATTTAATTATTATTATTTTGTAAACGATCGAAAATGGGTGTTGCTTAATTTTTCCAATATTTGATTTTAACAATGCTTTGCACAAATCTTTGTTAAAATCAAATTTTCGTGATGATGGAGTCGTAATAAGCGGTTACGTTGAACATTTTTTTTTTAACTTGGCGATTAGTAGCTCGAGCATGTTTCTCAGCTTTTAAATGCTGAGTTACGCAAAAACGTTTGTCATTGTTCACCTTTATTTAGCACATTTTACAAAATAAAACAACTCCATCGGATGCAAATATATGTTCACTAAATTCGGCCACGTAATTATAAATTCTATTAACTAAGGCAAAAAAAAAATAAAAAAAAAAACTATAAATTCGATTCATCCGACTTTTGGCATTTTATAATTATTGGAAACCGATATAAAAAACCATACTACAGATCGCACACGACTAAACCTTGTGCTCGGACTCTCAGAACGTTTTTGTATCGTGCTGTCACAACAATCGCGAGTCATTAAATCATATTACGAATACTTGGAATTACCTACTAAATGCTTCCCCAAATAATAGTTCTTCGAATCTGTTATCAGAGTATTCGAGAATATAAGAATTGTCGATTTCTCAAGGTTTTAATTAAATATAGCTAGAAGTATTACCCGCTTATCGCCTATCAGGATGTAAAGTAGTAATTGCACAATATTAAATTATTAAAGTACGACCAATAATTTCAAACAGGTTTTTATTTTATATTGGCAACGTTTTTATAAAGACATATTTATTAACAAATATATTTTGAAATATACTCAAAGTCCAACATTTTCATGAAATGTTAATAAAAATATATATATGGCGAGTAAAATTCAATAAAATGCAGTAAAATGCAATTTTATTCTAAAATATGCACATTTATATAAAAAAAAACCTCAAAATATACGAAAATATGCAAACTAAAATTTCATTTTTAAACTCGTCAGATGATGATTCAAATTTGTAGCTCATATAGTAACTTTTTGATGCACTCATTAAAAACATGCAAATACATGAACTTCTAGGCCCTAGTAATAATATACTATTTTTAGGCTTGAATTTTGTGTACACTATTATTATTATTATTATTAATATTATTGGAATGGGTTTTGGTTATTGTCCGCTGTAGCCGAAGCGCAAACACTGCTGCAGCAAAGTATTCAGGGGCAAATCCACACCATAGTATCGTGAGGCAGAAAGGGAAATTCATTTGTGATGAAAACTTAATTATAATCTATGATGTTACCGATGCATTATAGATCATTTTAAATACATTTATTTTGATTAAGTCTTTTTTAAAGTATCAAATATTCATACACAGATAGGTAATATTTTTTTTTCTTAGAGCGCCTCTTCCTTTTTCTTTTTTCAACCATTCCAATCACCTTCTTTTGGATCCGCTTCAGACAGTATGATACGTACAGAAAATAAGTTAGAACAAAATTGTTAACGCCAATACAAGGAATCCGTTTTATTTTCGTTCATTTTAAAATATATACTCAGCTATCGGCTGTAGCTTGTGGCGTTGTTTACATTTTTGTATCACATGATAATAGTAATAATAATAATAATATCGTACCTGTGTACATAGCTTGGTTTATAATATTCTATAGCATACGTATAAAATCGATTTTTTTCCGCATGCTGCTCCGCGCATGTGTAGTAGAACGAGTGGGTCGCGTGGTTGCATCATTTGGTGTGTATGTCATATATTGTCATGTGTTGTCATAATATGTTATCGGGCAGATACTCCGACCAAGTGCCACGAGAAATTGTTGGTGCGCATCGGCGGCGGCAGTGGTACGTGCAACATGGGCACCAGGACGAACATGGCGCCGGCAGTGAACCTATGCACGTTTTCCAAATGCTTCGGCGACCGGACGGCCACGGAACGGCTGTCGTCCACGTCGCTGGTGCTAAACACGGCCAGGCTACGTGCGGAACAGCCCAGCACGTACCTGGAAGAGATGAACACGAAGATGCAGGGCCGGTTCCAGAAGGCGGCGTGCAGTACGTCGTGGCCACGATATGGCCACAAATCATACCCGGCGCTTGCGGCATCTCGCAAATACAACCTGCTCAAGAGCTGCGCAGACATCAAGCGCGAACGTGTGGCCGACGGAATGCCGGATGTGATCGGCGCCTTGGACGACCTGAGTAGGACCATCGACGCACAGATCGTGGATCACATGGCTGATCGACACGTGACGCTCATCAAAGTGCGCCAGCACGACCAGGAAATCCACGGCCGGCTCGAGTACGCCAAAGATCTCATGAGCACCGACGAGATTAGTGAGGAGAGTTTAAAGGCTGACGAAGAGGTGAGGTCGTACATGATGACCGCTGACTGTGCTAATGAGGATGACGTACCTTCAGATTGCGAAAATCTCAAAAAGCTCATATCTACCGTAAAAAAAAATATCAAACAATCGCATAATTGTTCTCAAGGTACACCGATATTATATACACTATATACATATACGCTTGTGGAAGTAGTGCGTACGTAAAGTAGTAAAAATACCTATTACGTATGTGTATAAGTAGTAGTAGTAGTAGTAGTTAGGGTTACTAGTACAATGGTAGTAGTATAAGTTTTAGAAGTAGTTGTAGAAGTATTATAGTACAAACGGTAATAGTATAAGTAGTGTAGAAGTTAATGTGCAATTTTAAACCAACGTTCGACCGTAGCTGTGCGTAATGGTCTCTCTAATTAGGCTTATGCACAACAGCTGTAACCAAGTATAAAACACAACTCAGCTCATGCCGTTATTTATGCAATTTTCAGATGACCGTCTGACCAAATTGGACGTCAAATCCTACGAATCGACCCTGCAAGTGGTGCCAAACGTCACTTCGGTCTTGTTAAATCACGAAAAACCGATGGAGTCTGCCGAACGGTCACAATTTCAACCGGTGAGTGTGCAAACCACCCAGCAACAGGTGGTGACTGCCACGCACGTGGTAAAACACCAGTTCGACGATTCGTTTCAGAAACAACAGCCGAGCAAACGGGTGCCGATAAAGATCGTACAAGATAATCGTAAGAACGTCACCAAGCCGAAACCCGAAATATCCAAAACGGATGTGCCGGTGGCCAAAATATCCACCACCGTGTCTTTAAAACAGGTAACCTACATGATTGCCCGCTCATCTTACAATATATTGATTATCATTGTAACTGGAATAGGTTTTCAAACTAGTGGCAGGGTGGTCGATAATTGGGTTACATTTTATCTATCTGTTTCGTTAAAAATATTTGTTTACATTAGAAGATTAGGCCACAAATTAAATCTATATTTTTAAATTGTACCCGGAGATTGGGTCATAAATATACAGCATAAAAATATACGAATATACAATGTTTATTAACTAATAATTATTTTTATAATGCATAAAATACAATCATTTTTTTTTTTTTTTTTTTTTTAATAATGCCATACGCAGGATTCACAAATTTAATATAATATAAAAAGTCAATAAAATTAGTCAAATAATAATAATTATCATAAATATTTTTTTCTGAGAAATGCATAAAAATATATTTATTTTTTAAATAATATGATATTAAAAATTTTACTAACATATAACAATTTTTACCAATTTTACAAATTTAAATCAAAGTTCATTTTCTTGCTTTTATCGCTCCTATGCTTCTCATTTTAATATATACTTCGGATTGAACCCCATATAAAACATTTAAAAAACTATGAACATTGGGATGTGACATATAAAAATTGTTTTTAAAATGTAAATGAAAGGACTCGGCAACAATAGTGGCCCAATCACCGGGTCTGCCTGTTATAAATATAAAACTGTAATGACCCAATTACCGTACACCTTTTTGAAAAAAGGTTAATTGTGGTCCAATTCCCGGGCATCATAGTGGCATAACTATGAATTTACTTTGTGTAAAGGGAAAGGAGGATTAAATATTTTTAGTAAAAATCACCTCCAAAAAACATATTTAAGGATTTTGATAATATTTATGATATAATTGATTACATTTATTTATATTACATTTGTTGAAATGGTTGTTTTTTATCGGTGGAGACAAGCTAAAATTTTGTCTGAAACGGTACACCGGATGTCACACTCGTGAAAAGTGAAAAGTGAAAAGTACAAACAATAAAATGTACCATTTCCTTAACAATGATTTGGTTATCATAGTAAATTCATAATAAAATATTAAATTTTATGTTTTTCCTTACAGCCAACAAAGGTTAAAAATCCTACTTAATAATTTTATAAGGATTTGAGAGCTACACCCCTTCTTTCCTACCTTATTTACACCCCTACTAAGTTTAGAATACTTTGCTTTCGAACTTTGTTCATCTTGGATCACACAAATATCCTATAAAGTAATTTTAGTCTCCTTTCAAATTTCAGTCGTCAGCCATGACTTCCGGTTATACGAATAATAAAAATTATACGAATCGTTTTACTTAAAAACGCAATAAACATCGTGTTCGATTTAAATCTTATTGTAGTTATCAAACGTGCTAACTATACACACCGTCATATGTACATTATTTAACCGACGTTTCAGGTTCCTATGACGGTGCAGCCGAAACCAGTGAGCAACGAGAAAAAAAAACTGGAAAAAAAAGAGTCTATATATGGTAATATAGGGTACCGAGCCGGCAGCCAGCGCCTCAAAGATAAACAAGCTGTAACCGTGTCTTCGGTAATATCGACAGCAAACAAACAGACACAGGACTTGTTCAGCACGGGTAGGGACAGCTGGCTAAACATGCCCAAAGACCTAGGCCCAAAGCTCAACAAATCTAAGGTGACTACGTACAAGTCGACCAGGAACCGGAAAGAGACGATGGTGGACACGGAAGTATCGGTGTTGGAAGAGCTAAATAAGGCCGCCGATGAGATACTAAAGGCGGTAAATGGGTACACGGATGACGAGTCTCAGCTGCCGAATAATGAGCCGAAAGCGAAGCCGGACAACTCAGAGGTGAAACTTAAAAACAAAAAGAAAGCGGCCAGGTTACTACAAAGAGCCAACAGCAGAGAGGCGCTATTGCACCTGGATGAAATGAGTTCGTCTGACGACGACGCCGTGGACGAGGTGCAAAGAGTAAAACCAAAAATTCAAAGAAAAACTAAAACGCAACAGACCACCAACAGTGTGGCCACCAAGACCACTGCCAGTTTTACTAAAAAGTAACTATAATTTTTATTTATCTTCGAAATACGTTTACGTAGGCACTACCGCCAGTGGGGTGGAATAAAAGTGATTCTCTCGGAACTCCATAAATTTTCAATTTTTGAAAGGGTGTTAGAGTCGTTAATACTATAAAAACGTATTTATTTAATATAAATAATTTTATTTATTTTTTAATAGTTTTTTTCTTTCATCATAGAATCCAAAGCCGTGAGCAAAATGTCACGAAAACGAACATGCAACACAAAGTTCATCCGACGTACTACGGTAACGTTTCGAGTTGTACACAAACGACTACGTCGATGAAATTCCGCAACGCTAAGCCCTCAGATGTTTTGGCAAAACGTGAGTCGAAATAACTTTTGGCTACAATGCACACGCATTCATATTGGAATCGAATACTCCGGGATCAAATGATCTATAAATTTATTATTATTTTTTTTCTCCTATTTCAGAAATGATCGACCAAAAGGACACCAAGGGAAGGTACCAATGCAAAATAACGACCCGGACTTTTAACTCGAAGTAATTATTTTTTTTTATTCATAATATTAACGTTTGAATCAAATAGCAGTTAGATAAAATGGTTTGGGATTGATTAGTCTTACTACATTTAACCATCGTGATTTGTATTTGTTTAGCAGGAACACCAAAGGCACAGCCGAAGAAAGCAAAAGCTCTATCAAAGGATGTTAATTATACTATTATTGTCTTAATATGTTGGAATGAGAACATTTTGTTAAACGCTTTAAACAATTATTTTTATATATATCTAACTTAACAAATATTATTATATACTTTAGCCGTTGTGTCGACATAGGTACGACGCACGGTCCTAACTAGAGATATTAATTTATATATAAATATATCAACAATAATTTTTTTTGTAAAAAGAAAAAGAAAAATGAAAAAAAATAGGTAAATAAATTTACATTAGTTTAGTTGTTTTTTATACTCGTATAGTCTTTCATCGTGTATTACTACAAATCAATCTTTTATTCATTAATTCGATGGCATTGACGAAGATAGAAGATTGTTACACCTAATATATTGTTAAAAAACGAATATATGTATAAGTATGTATAAATTCAAAATAATATAATAAATTGTGATTTATTAATAAAACTGCAGTTGATTTCTTAGCAGACCATATTATTACAATCCACAACGGTTAGAAAATCGATTAAATAGGCAAACCGTATCAATGCGTAACCGTATAGATGAATTATCCTTGTTTTTTCAAATATTGGTGTTGTGGATACGTGCAAGACTTAATAATAATCAATGGCGTACATTCAGATTTGCTGTGAGGGAAAGGTTCATAAAAATAATGCACTCCAAAAACTACCTATTTATAAATACCTATTTTTTTCAATAATTAAATACTTAAAGGCAGTGGCGTAGCCGTGAGGGGGGGGGGGGTTAACAGGTTATAATCCCAGCCCCTAAAATGTCTTCCTTATTTTGTAAGATATACAATAATTTTAAGACATAGGTAGAGTGTTATACCCGTACGAGCGAACATTAATTTGTTATAAATATAATGTCATGCATCTTTCTTAAAAGCTTGTACTAAAATAGTTGAATAAATTAATTATCGATTTATATTTATGCAAACATGCATTTTTTTAATGAACGTAACGATAACACAATCATAAATTATTACCACTATTATATACTCTTAGCTCAGAGCATAACAATAAATATTTTAAAATATTACTTCATCACTTTTTTTGGCCCTAGAGAGGATAGAACCCGTCCCCCCTGTAAGTGCACCACTGATAATAATAGCATGTCCTTCCGAATGAAGTGGTTTTTAAGTAGCACTCACTCGCCTCAGTTATCATCATCAAACACTACCAATAATGCACCTATGACCTATTTCTTTAAAATTCCCAACAGTATTTAGTACAGTACCTCATTATTGATTCACTACTTTTTTAATTTCATTATACTCAACGCTCTTTACTATAAAGAACATATTATTGGAAATGAAGAAATGTTATCTTATCCTCGGTATTTTAACCACAGATCAGCAGCGAAAATATAAATAGTAGTTCATTTTCCTTTTACTTAAATAAAAAAAAAGTCAAGATTTCAAGATTTTCTTTTTTCTAAACTTGAAACCGTTCCAATAGATGTAAACTCTGAAACTGGAATCTATATTTACTCTCATAACTGATCTAGTGCTCGACTTGCGGGGGGACACATGGGGACGGTATACCCCTTCTAATTTTTAGAAATTTGAGCGTCTCTCTACTATTTATTATGTTATAATTATAACGCTTAACAAATTTTGGGGGCGCAATTTTTTTTAAGCAAACAGAGTCCCCCTTCTTTAATTTTTCCAAGTCAAGTACTAGACTGATCCATCAAAAGGTAAGTATAAGTAGCAACAGCAACAAATTATAGATTTGTATAATCACAAAAGTTATAAGTCTATATAGTTAATTAATGAAACAACAGATGTTATTTAAATTATTTTAAGTGAATTTTCTGATATAGAGGTATAATTTTTTTCGCTATTTATATAGTTACATATTTGGTACCCAAGATAACATAGAAAGATTTCAATAAAGCTATACCTGATCAGGGACGGTGCGAGGGGGTGGGCAATAGGGGCAGTTGCCCACGGCCCTGCACCTTAAATTATTATTAAGGCCCCGCGGTTCTGATTTAACTGAACTTAAAATATTTTATTAATATAAATTATAAGACCCAACATTTATTTTGCCCAGAGCTTCACAAACTCTAGCACCGTGACTGTATCTGATACGCAATGAGAAATTCTATATTTATTGTTTATCGTTTATTGTATTTTACCGTTCGTTGCAATATATTTACCATCGCCGAACATAAACAATAATTATTGTATCTTCTATAATGTAATATAGACCATTAATTTATTCATTAGATAAACTATGTCTAGATATATAAATGTCAAACTAAATGGAAAATGTTCGAAAACAATGACGATCGAACATATATATAGTATTAACCTAACCTTTTTCAAATTGAAAACCGAGAATTATTAAACAATTTAAAATAAACTTAATGTCATTTTCTAACTTTGTGCACGATTGCTGTCATTCCAGTTTGCTGCCATAATCAGGCAGCAGTATAGGTACAACACAACTAGATGAACAATGAACACGAAACTTTCAATATAACCGCACGCTGCATTTATCAGTATGACCGTGTGGTATAATTTAGAAGTTCACAAGTAAATAATTTACATCGGGTGATATAATAAAGTTGTGAAATAACCCATTGCTTTTTTTGACAGTAATTTCATTAGTTTTATACGTGAAAACGTAATATATAAATTAACTAATTGATTTATTTCAACACTCGAGTTGAAATAATTTTAATTTTACATAAAATAAATGAAAAAAACTAAAAAAAAATTCAAAACCGTATTTAATCATATCAGATCATATCATATTTTTATCGAGTTGTTAAGATATAAGAATTTTTTTTATAAGTAATTTATTATTTTAATTACTATTTACATTTATAATTATATACATATTTCACTTTCATATCAATGTAATTATTTTATATAGTTTATTCATTTAAAATATTCCTTGATAGATTGCTATCTAAGTCTACTGATGTGTTTATACATTTTTTTCATTTTTTTTTTTTCATAATTACAATATAATAATATATAAAATGTGTATCAAAATAATAAGTTTAATTTAGATAATGATATAAGAATAATATTACAAATATAATTCAAGTTAGACAATTCATCAGGGTATGTTCAATAGGTTTCGATTTAGGCAGAGTCTGAAGAGGCCTCATTCGCTTTTCTGAATTTTTAGAAAAAAATTTAATTTGTTTTTACCCTACAAATGTAAATTTTGGAAGCTCATATATCATTATTTTGTAGATTATTAGTTTCAAATTCTTTATATTATGAAGTGTACCTATTATTATAATGTAATATATTATTCTAATATTATGTAGGAATTTTATTTCATTAATTTTGTAAATTATAGACCTCTGTATATATATATATATATATATATATGTATGTATCTCATTAGATCTTTGTCTGAACTTGCCATTAAATATTATGTTCCGGTTATCCAAATTTGTGTTTTGTTTAATACTTCCCAAATGCCCTCTATTGGTTATGTTACAAAAAATTATAATGTGCAATAAAAATTAAAATTGTTCACTACAATTCTAATTTATGTTTTTAATTTGTTGAATTTTAAAATTTTGTTCGGAGAAAATACCTCAGTCCCATCCCTCAAAAATACACACCCCTGGTCATAGGTTGTAGTTAATAGGGTATGTCGCTCTTTATAATCGTGGGGTTTTCCTCTCTAGGATAGACAAGTTTTTAGTGGGCTTACGTTAAAATTATAATTAATGACTCCATTTTACTTTATAAATGAATGAAAGAATCTGTTTGATATTGAGTTTATGTGTTCGTCAATTGTGGGAATTAACAAGTCTTTGTGCAGTGATTTATTGTGTACACACCAGAGAATATCTGTTATTATACGAAGTATTTTGTTTCGGTATATTTATATTTTATTCAAATGGCATTTAACTCAACTACCCCTGATAGAGCATGCGATAAAAATATAGGTCGTAAAACTTGTTTGTAAACATAAATGAGTATTTTTTTTTACTTATAGTTGATTTTCTATTTATTATTGGGAAGATAACTCCTAAGCATTGGGATGCTTGTTGGAGTTTATCCATTAGGTATGGCCTCCAATTGAGTTTTTTTTTACCCAGAATAACGCCTAAGTATTTTATAGACGATTTCCAAGCTATTACTATTGGCTTGTTTTCAAATTTAACTGGTTGAAGTGCCTATAACCTAACCTGTACTTTAAACGTTTTTACATTAATGTCTAATATAGGTAATACATTATTATAGAATCTATAATATAGATGATAGTGTACCGACATTTATTTTGAAAACGACTTAGTAATACAATAAACCTAACCGATGCAATTACGGTATTTGAACATAAGGGTCCAAACCATACCTTCTGCGTTAGAGCATCTTTCGACAAATAACATAATTTGCACCATGACATTAAAACTGTCATATAATCACCCACGGCACAAATATTAAATATACATACATTTATATAATATATATTTTAAACGGGAAAAAAACTGTTTTGAAAAAATGTCGGGCTAAAACTAGAGTATTTTCTGCACATACTTACTTATTAGTCTTCTCTTTGGATGCCAAGTCAATATATAGGTCCATATCCCCAGTCTCTCCATTAATTTAGAACGCACACGTTTTTGGTTTTCAGGATTTTCTTCAAGTTGATTTCCGATTTTTATTCTAATCTACTACAAGTTGATACGGTGACAAATTAACTAACCGTAAGCAAAGATTAATTATTCAATGTATCTTAATCGAAAATATTTTGTAAAATCCCATTTTCGCATGTCACCGATTGCCGCCAGTTCATCGTCGTTTCGAACCAACACAACCATGGACGAAAATATGACTGAAAGTTTTTCCTCCAGGCATTTTGAAATCACATGCTCGATAATTCATATGCACACCGGGCAACCCTGTGTGTACCCCTCCCACTATAGCTCGCCATTGCCTCAACCGAACAAATGAGCAATATCGCCGATAGGTTTGCCGACTTTTATTATCGTTGATAATAGGACTCCTAGAAAGATAGAATTGGTGAATTAATAAACGTGGTTAAACTTTAAAGTCCTTAATCCTCGAAATTATGGCTACCATACTGAAAACCGGCAAATTGATATGCTACACACGTAAGTCATAACGAATCATTATTGAGTCGCGTTTTTACTTGCCATTGGTTATTTATTTGTTTGTTGTCCCTTCCAGTACCAAAGAACAAATCGCCGGCCCATCTGAACAGATATTTTCAGACTTTACACGTAAGTATCTATCCTCTCCCCGGTTTTGATATATTTATTTTCCGTATTAACCGCTTGGTCTTGCAGAGGTACAATGTTCCCCTGCAAAGGTGCTTGAATGACATCTTGCGCAAGCAGAATGCTGTTAGTGTTGGTCCAGTCTTAGGTCGAGCTCGAATGTATGCAGCGCCTTCAGAAAAAAAAGTATTCCAGAGGTCTAAACCCCATTGTAATATAGGTACTATTGGACATGTGGACCATGGAAAAACTACACTCACAGCTGCCATTACTAAAGGTGATATCAGTTATATATTAAATGTATGGACAGAATCCCTAAAGTATAAAATAGTTAAAAAATTAGATTACTAATTTATACTTAATCTTAATAATAATTTAAATAAAATATAAATATAATACTTTTCAAAGTATTATATGAGCAAATATTAATTATTAGTTTATGTTTCAAGAATCATCATCTGATTTAACAGATTCATACTATTCAATTAAAAGTATAAAAAATTTAAAAAATAATATGGTACAATGGTAGATAATTTTTTTTAAATAAATATGGAAATAACATTTTTTTATCTGAATTCTGATAAGATTTTAAATTAGCTAACGATTGTAATAAATTAAATAATTTAATTATATACAATGAAAATATAAATTATTTTTCATAAAAATAAATGTCTAACTTATTTTATTTCTCATCTTATCAATCTCAAGGTTAAAAGTCATATTACAATTGTATGTATACATTTATATTTTGAAGTAAAAATGAATTATTTTTGATAATTTTAAGTATGTGCAAGTATAAATTGTGTTTATGTTTCTTTAAACTACCTTTAATTTCCTAACATTTTATTCAATAAAAACAGTATTTCATTAATAATATTTGGTTTTTAGTTTTATCATCTAAAAAAATGGCCAAAATGAAACAATATGCTGATATTGACAATGCTCCAGAAGAAAAAGCTAGAGGAATCACAATTAATGTTGCTCATGTTGAATATGAAACTGAAGCTCGACATTATAGCCATACTGACTGTCCAGGACATGCTGATTACATCAAAGTACATAAAATAATTTTTAAACTTATTCAACATTTTAAGTATTGTAATATGCATGTTTTTTAAATAGAACATGATTACTGGAACAAATCAAATGGATGGAGCTATTCTCGTAGTAGCTGCAACTGATGGTGCTATGCCTCAAACTAGAGAACATTTATTATTAGCTAAGCAAATAGGAATTTCTCATGTTATTGTATTTATTAACAAAATAGATGCAGCTGATTCAGAAATGGTTGAATTAGTTGAAATGGAGATTAGAGAATTATTGACTGAAATGGGTTTTGATGGAGAGAATTTACCAGTTATTAAAGGTTCAGCCTTGTGTGCACTTGAAGGAAAAGAACCTGAAATTGGTAATAAAACTAACAATTTGATTTTTTATGTTAACCAGTTAATTATCATATTTTATCTAAAGGTGAAAAAGCTATTGCAACATTACTTGACAAAGTTGATGAATATGTTCCACAACCTGTTCGTGATTTAGACAAACCATTCATGCTACCAGTAGAACATGTTTACTCTATTCCAGGACGTGGTACTGTAGTGACTGGTAGATTAGAACGTGGTATAATTAAGAAAGGAAATGAATGTGAATTTGTTGGTTATAATAAAGTTATAAAATCTATGATCACAGGTAATTTTAATTATTAATAAGGTATTCTTAAAATTTCAATTTCATACTAGTTGAAGTAAGATTATTATTAGGGATGGGCCGATACCCGATATACCAATATCTAAAACGGAAACCCGATATTATAATCACAAGTAAAAACTAAGTTGATCTTTAATATATTACATAAAAAAATCAACTTTTTTGGCAAAACCATGAATCGATACTAAAATTAATCCAATACCACGAATCAATAAAACCGATACCTGATATTATAATCACAAGTAGTTTTGCGGTATCGGTTCAAATATCTGTTTTGAAAATAAACCGATAACGATATTTCCGATATCATTAATATCGGCCGATACCAAGTATCAGTTCTAGGATCGGCCCACCCCTAATTATTATAAATATGAGTATATATGTGTCAAATTTTTAATAAAAATTATTTGAAACTCAAGTTTATAGTCTATTCCAAAGGTTTTCAATCTTTTGAGGCATATACCCCTTTCATATTATTTTATGATGTCACGCCCCCCTCCCCTCAGAATTAAATCTAATTATGTTTAATATTTATAAATTTGTATAATTTAATGTTATTTATTAGATTAATATGAAAATCAATGAAGTTTTTTTTAATATTCAATGAATTTATTTGTTATGAAAAAAATATAATTTAAAACTATTAAAACAAATTATTTTATATTCACTTTCTTAAATGTTAAATTTCAAATTTATTATTATTAATTAGATACAAATTGAGAGGGTTAACAGTACGTAGTTTCAATAAATTGTTACTTAATTTTGTCTCTTTAAATATAAAAACAATTATAAATAATGTTTTCATATTTCATTTATTTTTAAAAATGTTTCATGCCCCCTGAAATTTTATCATGTCTTCCTAAAGAGGTGCAACCTCCAGTTGAGAACTTCTGGTCTATTCAATGTCTCTAATAAATTATATATTAATAATTCAAATATTTTACAATTCATATCTTCTTAATTTAATTAATTTATATTATTAATTGGAATTTATCAATTTTTTCATATATATATATATATATATATATATATTTTTTTTTTTTGATGAAGCAATTTTTTTTTAATATATAGTAAGCATTGTATAACTATTAATATTGAAATAAATATAAAGTAATTGAGCTATGTTATGCATGTCATAAGGTGTTGAAATGTTCCACAAAATTCTTGAGGAAGCTCAAGCTGGAGATCAATTAGGCGCTTTAATCAAAGGTACGAAACGTGATGATTTAAGACGTGGCATGGTGTTAGCTAAACCAGGTACAGTAAAAATGCAGGACTTTGTCACCACTCAGGTGTATGTATTAAACAAAGATGAAGGTGGAAATGGCAAACCGCTTGTACCTTACCAGCAGTTACAAATGTATTCAAAAACTTGGGATTGTGCATGCCAATTGAACATTATAGGCAAAGAAATGGTTATGCCCGGGGAAGATTGTTCGTAAGTACTTAGTGATAAATCGACAGGTTAATTGTTTGATTGATAAATACCAAATTCATTGTTCTAGTGTTGAGTTAAAAATGATCCGACCAATGGTATTGGAACAAGGACAAAGATTCACGTTGCGTGTAGCTGGTGTTACAGTAGGAACTGGAGTAATCACTGAAGTCAAGAAAAGACTATTAGAAGAAGAAAGACGAGGACTATTAGAAGGTAAAAAATACCGAGAAAAAAAAAAGGCTCAGAGTTCTGAATAAGTCTAGTAACTTCATCCTTCATTGCAAGACCAGTATGTACATAAAGTCATTATATGTATCTTAATACTTAATCACAAAGTGCATTATTGATAATTTTGTAGTTTTAATATATTTGAATACAAACACTTTTATGTTTAATAGTTATACTGTTGAACGTATTTGAATAAAATGCATTATATCATAAAATCTGTTTATTTTATTTTAAATATAATGTATTTAAATTCTATGATTATTCTAATACCTTGGAGAACATATAAATGTAGTTAAAACTTAGACTAGTTACTTATTTGTTTATATTATAATAAAATTACCGTGAATTCATTATGTTTTAATTTTCATGTGAAATTTATGAATACTAATTACTTATTTTTTTTATGTTAAAAGTATATTTTACTGTTTAATTACAATATTTCTTGTTTTTTCTGAGATCTAATTATTTGATGTTCTGTACATGACTGATGAACTATAGTATTCCCATTAAGTATATTACATATATGCCATATACTAATCATTATTTTGGAAATCCACGGGTATAATCTCGAGCAATTTGTGAAAAACTATAAAATAAAATTTAAATGTGTTAATTTTGATTATGGATATTAATTATTTCCCTTAGGTGATTGATTGTTTGTCTCCATCTATATTACTATGACGTAATTAATGGTATAACATTGTGCATCTGTATATTAATTTTTATTGGTTATTGATATTACTATCATCTATTATAATAATATAATCTTTGCATGAGTCTTGGTTACCAGTGACTAATGTAATTATCTACATAATAATTTATTCAAAATTTAATAATTTTTATTTATAATATTGTAATCTATAAAAGAATAAAAAAAAGTATGTATTTAAATTTTTGTTAGGTTCTATAACCCCTCTCAACCACCAGTAAACGTATACTGCTTTCATATTAAACTTATAGTTAATAGAAAAGTGAATGTTTGAATAAATTCAAGAATGTGTTGATTTTATAGTGTTCCAGTATTAAAATTGTAAGAATTATTATTTGACCCAAATATTATAAAAATCTGTACTTATATCTTGGATTTCATTGATATTATAAATAATTAAAAAATTATAAAAACAATCAGATGATATCAAAGAAAAATATACACAATTTAACAACAATAGATTTCAATTTATAAGAGTGGTTTAAACAATTATCTGTTATACTGTCAAAATGAAATGTACTATTACTATATTTGATTAATTATTTATGTTAATAAGAAAAAGTTTTTCGGTGAAAAAGTGAAAATCTGAAGCAGTGAACATCATTAAAATGTTTCCTACTATTAGTTGCATTCTCCCCAACCACTATTTTTAACGTAATATTTAATTTTTTTGACCTAATACAATTAATATATTTTTATTTTTTATTCAAAAATACATTTTCATATAATTTTAAAATCTAAATTAGGCTATGGTAAAAGTAAAGGTTTGTAATTGAGAGAAAAATAGAAGCCAAAATAAGAAAATACAACACTACAAAAAAAAAAAAAACTGTGCATTACGAAGTATATAAAATTAGAGAGTAAATATATTAAAAAATATTTAATAGAAAAAAAGTATTAATGTGTATTATTAAAGTAAACAACCCACATATTGACATTGCATTTGATTTATATGATACTTTTATATTTTTACATATTTTATATATTATTTTTTAACAACCATTACGTATTATTATATTATTGTATTACTTATAAAAAAAAAAGTAATACTATTGTGTTATACTTATGCCATGAGCTTATACGTTATATAAGAAGAAAAATTAATTAACACGAATTAATTACTAATATGAACAATTAATATGACTATAATTACTTGTTATTTTTAAGAAAAAAATTTTTAGGCTACTAACATTTTTTTAAAAAAATCATACAAAAATCCAAAAATAAGCAAAAAAAAAGCGAAAAAAAACAAAATAGCACTTATACTCCGAAATATGCAAAAATATGCAACATAAAATGTCATTGCTGTTTTGATTTGTTTTTTCAAATGTATCTGGTATGTATAATGATTTATTTACTGAAATGATCGAAGCACAAAAAAAAAAGGAAAATACGTATGTAGTATGTTCAAATTTTGAATAGTTTGATTCAAAACTCATATGATTATAATATTATAATTATTGTATTTTAGTGATTTGATATAATATATTGATAACAGCCTAACATTATGATAGTGATGATTATATTACACACATGCGCAGAATGTATAAGGTGCATTCCTGTGTTTAGACCACAGATAAATAATAACATGTGTTATTATAAATCTGTGGTTTAGACGCTCCTTCATACTTTATAGCACAACTAACCGTACGCTATCAATGTTTGCGAACGATAACGATTACGGTTCGTTTGTTTGCCTTTCTGTGACTGTTCGTTAATCCGTACCGGTCGGCGACCGCCAAACGCCCGAAGTTTTCCTTGCTCGTTTCTCGTTAAGATTTTTCAATTGCCCACGTCCGTCGACACCGGATCCACAAACAAAGATGTCGGCCAACACGAGCACCCGTGACAAGTTACTCGGCCTGCTCGACGACTTCGAACTATTGAGCAGGTAACTAGGAAAACGTAACACGTTTAGTCCTGAAGGATCTGCGCTTGTATATCTGTCTGTGAGCGGATACAACACGTAGATTTGATTACTTACCGTTTGCTTATATTCCACATTTGTTCCGTTACTTCACGGTTTAGATTATTTCTGTTATTTCCTGTCGACTTCTTTTTAAATTCAAAACAATCTGATCGAATATTTGGATGACCGTGTATACTAACATTATCTTGTTCCTTTCCTACTATGTATTTGTTGCTCACAATATCCGTTGGCCTCACATTATGTACTGATTATTAAACGGTTAACATTTGCAAGTTTAACCTTATTGATTGGGTGTATTGATATTCCAACATTATTAATAAATTAATAATATATTTTAGTTATCATAAACAGCATGTTACTGAGATAATATTGAAACATTAAAATATGTCTATAATAATGTTTTTCTGTCCTACACTTTATAAAATTGAATCCTAAATCAATGTCACCATTCAAATTAGTTTGTTTCTTTGAAGTGGGGAAAAACATAGATTAAATATTCAAAAATGGTTTAAGGGAACTGATTGAAAATTTGAGTGCTGCACGGCAACAAAAGATAAATGTTCAACATCAGTTACTTCTTACTGAACAACTTGTAGCTACAGATAATGAAATAAAGGCTACACTAAAAGTTGCTGAACACCAAGCAGATGTGGAAAAAAAGGTTGATGCAATTAAAGCAGAAATAGAAACGCAAGACCAACATATCACCCAAATGCAAAAACATTTCAAAGAAGCTGAAAACATATTGGTAAGTAACATTTTATTAACTTCTCTTTTTTTGATAATATCAATAAGTATAATTTTATTTGGTTTTTTTTAGGCAACAGCATTATTTCAAGCAAAACAAAAATTACAATCTATCAATAAAGCGAGTAAACATCCAGTTTCATCAGAAGACCTCATAAAATATGCCCATAGAATTAGCGCTTCAAACGCTGTGTGCGCACCACTTACGTGGCAACCTGGTGATGCACGTCGACCTTATCCAACTGGTATAACTAAAATATTTCTCTGAATTATGTTTGTTTAATCGATTATTAATCAACTCTCCTATTTTACAGATATTGAAATGCGAATGGGATTTTTGGGTAGATTAAGTGATTTACCACTCAATGGGCATATGATGCAACCTCAAGGTCTGGCTGATATGGTGCGATCAAATAATCAAATAGGTATATTACTATAAATAATGTTTTACATTTATTATATATAAACAATTGAATCGTTAATTTCAAAAAACCCATGAGTGCCAACAATTTAAAACCCACAGTTTTATGTTAAATTATTAGGTTTAAGGTAGACTTATTAATAACTTATAAGGTTTAAATTTCAAATAGTGTGTCTACCTTAATTTTACACAAAATTGTAGATATTTTTATTTGTGATCTTTATAGGCTTTCTGAAAGAAACAATTCAATAAATAGTTATAATTTAAATAGTTGTTTATGGTCATAACTATTTTACAAAGGCTTACTTGGTTTATTAACTTCAGTAGAAACCGTTTATAATGACGTTCAAGGGACCAAAGAAATTAGGTCATAATAACTGGTTGTCATTATTACCAAAATGACGAAAAAAATTTGTAACTTCAATGTAGAAAAAATACGTATACTATTACATACATATTTCATATAAAAAAAAAAAAAAGTAGAGATAAAAGCGTTTAATTATCTATGTATTACAGTCATCCAAGCTTTGGAATTTGATTCATATTTAACCGGTAGACAATTGCTTTTGATGTTATTAAAACTTCGCGGATTACGGACTTTCCCAATTAGTCATTTTTTTTACCAGTCATACTTGCTAAAACAATGACGGTCAGACGTTCTTTAAACATTTTACCACCTGAACATTTTTTTCTTTAAATTTTAATATTTTATTTTGAAGTATTCTGTAAAAGAGTCCAGTCTCATATGCATTATAGATTTGGTCATCTATATATCCTTCCCGTAATTTAGGCCATACTTTTTCGAACCAATTATGTGTAATTTCTTTGTTGACCGAATTTGATTCTCCACTTTTGTTGAAAACACAATATTATGCCTCGATCTAAATCTTTGAATCCAACCAGTGGAACAATTAAAATTATGCGTACTTACCAAGGCCTTTAGCTAATTCATTAGCTTTCTGTTGAAGAATCGGTCCATTCATTGGAATGCATAGATTTATTTGATTTTTAAACCATCGTAATAAAACCGTGTCTAAATCCGTATGTGCACAATTTCGAAGTTTCTTAACTGATAGTTTTTCGTTTTGAAACACTTCGATTTTGTCTCAAGCTTTCCACATGTTAGAAATCGTAAAGTGACCTACGCCCAAATCATTAGCTATATCGGAATTTTTTGCTCATTTTACAACTTTACTATATTCAATACACTAACTCAAAACACGGTTAAGCTGACGACAATTACCCGTACACTGACAACATAAAAATTGAAGATGAAACACAACGATGAAATTATTTTGGTATTATTGGTTGTAATTGTATATTATAGTACCTTCGATAATGAAGTCATTATAGATAAAAGATTTTTTTAAATATAACCAAAAGATAACCGTCATAACATCCGTATATGTTAAAAATAATATACATTATAGTCATTATACAGACATCATAATAACCGGCACAAATTAATACATACAATATAGAAGTATTTCTGGGACCTTCAATCTAAGGTCATTACAACCGATATGTCACTACAATAGGTGTCATTATACGAGTAAACTGTTTCTACTGTATATTGTATAGACTAAATTATATTAACTTTGGTGCTCCAGAGATTTATTATCCACATTGTTTATTCAATTAATCTCTTTATTTCCATTTTAATATTTAAAATATATGTATTAATTATTGTTTGATCTCTATCTTAGTTTTGAACTAATTTTATTATTTTCAAGTTGTATGAATAGTAGTAGAAGTAGACTGTATAATATATTTAAGTTTATTATAATTTGCAATATAATAAAATTAATAATTATAGATTAAATTTTTAAACAATTTTAAGTATTGATTTTTAATTTTTCTGATATTATATGGATTATTTATAATCCAAGATTTTATTTTATATTAAATATAATATATGTTTTATTTAAAACTTTTATAAATTGTTTCGCTTTAATAAATATTATTAATTTAAATTGTATTTACTGTGATAAAATTTTAAATTTTCTGAAATACACTATAATAAAATGAATTCTTTGTTGATCTATATTAGTTGTAAGTTGTAGCTTTCATAAATAAAAAAAATTAAAAATTCTAATACTAAGAAAAACTAATTCTTCAACAATGTACATATTCATTTATCTCACGATTATTGCTTATTGCTTAGTCTTACTGTTAGGTAATATTTATAGCAGTATTTTATTTCTTTATTTTTTTCATTAATTTAAAATAATATATGATTTAGATCGTCAAACCTCCCAGCAGAATCAATTTGCTTGGCATTCAACCGGTGATATGCACCTAGGAGTTGGAAGTGGCGTCATAGATACTAGAAACCATTCTAAAGATGTTGCTGAAGATGTTGAGGTTATGTCAACAGACAGTAGCAGTTCTTCCTCCAGTGATTCTCAATAATTATATAAATAAAAATAAATACAAATTAAAAAGTGGTGAGAATATCATTATGTTTACGTATCACATTTTGAACATTTTCTATCAATCTTATTTGTACTGACTGAGCTTAGTTTTACACAAAAAAAAAAAAAATAAATAAATTAAAATAAGAATTTATCAAATATAAAAATTATAAGATGTGATTATAATTATACAAAAAATCTAAGTCGTTTAATGGCTTATAAATCTGTGACATTTGGATTTGTATAGGTAAACCCATCGAATTGAGACTGATCCATTGACTGAAGTATGGTTTTGTCAACAGGTGTCAGTCTCGGTTTCTCTTTTGTGAAATGCTTGTCAAAATAATGTGTATCCAGCGGATGGTACTAATAAAAACAGTAAAACATACAACGATTAAACTATAGAATAATGTGTTGTTAGATATTATGTTGAACACTTACAACCCTGGGCATATACGGAGGTTCCAATTCTCGTCTTTCCAGTTTACACCAGTCCATTGAACTGAAGAATGCATGCCTCATCACGTCGTCGGCCGAATGATTAGCTTCCAACGCACCTAACCGTTTAGTAGCGTCTTTTTCTAATAACTACATATTTGAACACAGAGGCCATGGTATATGAAATAGTTGAGAATGAGGAGAGAAAAAAAAATGCAAAACGCGAGGACTTACCGCTACCAGAACAGATTTCGAGTCGACCGACAAATACCGCGGATACTGAGGTTGTTCATTGCATATGGACCAAAACAAGGCGTCCTCGTCACAACCACTGAATGGCGATTTGCCAACCAACATCTCGTACAGCAGAATGCCAAAGGACCACCAGTCTACACTTTGGTTGTATTTCTGGCCTTTGATTATCTATACAGACAACGATGATCAGATACCACTCGGATTGAACACAGTTGTTTATTTCGCACGGACTATTTTATATCTCATTTCAAATCGTTTACCTCAGGCGCCATGTAATCGGGCGTGCCGCAAAATGTGTCCGCTGTTTTATCCAAATATATTTGAAGTTTGCACATCCCGAAATCGGCGATTCTCACGTGCCCGTTGAAGTCCAATAGTATGTTATCCAGCTTCAAATCCCTGATCATACAACATTAACGGAATTAGAAGAAATATAAATAAAACAAGTAAAAACAATTTCGCGCAGTATTCTTTGTATAGACTCGCTCACCTATACACAATCCCTTTTTTGTGAAGGAACTTGAGGCCGGACACTATTTCGGATGCATAAAACCGAGAACGACCTTCATCAAATCGTCCAGACTGTTGGATGTGAAACATTAAGTCACCACCGTTCAAATATTCCATGACAAAGAACAAATGTGACTGTAACAAACATAAAGTTTTTATTATGAATATGATGTATTTTTTTTTTATTGACTAAGGTTTTCAATTATAATTTTTAATGTACAGTATAGTACACATGAAAATATACATTAATATAAAAATTATTTATTATTTTAAAGTGTAACCATTCTGGGTGGGAAAAAAACAATAGTGTATTAACACAGTACAATATTACTGTAACGAAAAGAACCCACGTCATTGTAAACGAAAATTAAAAATTATTTCTCGATTGAAATCCCACTTTTTCGGTATCAACAATTTACCTCCGTTCCTTTAAAAACTAGTAAATAATCAGAAAATCTCTGAACTCTACATTTTGTCTCTTTAATTAATAATGCACTTAATTGTCATTCGTCATATCCATGGCTATAGTGATCAACTCAAAATACTCATTTATGAGATTGCAGATTTCGTTTTTTTTTACGTTTTGGACGTACATAACAACTATTACAATAAATACGAAAACGTGGCTGTAAAATTAGAATGAAAAATTATCCTACTATATTTATTGTAGTATATACGGCCCACAATATTATTGTAATTTAACTATGTAGTTAGATTGAGTCGAAAAATATTTATAATTGTTCAAAAAAATTTAGTATTGATTGTTTTTAATTTCGATTGTTGGTTGGATTATTAATCGATTTTGTAACTTTACGAGTTTGAATCATTATTACATTATTATGCTTGGCGTTTCACAGTTTATCTATTAAAGAGTTAAGAAAGCATTATTTTTCTTATTTTGTTTTAAATATAATTTAAAAGAATTGGGTTATTTATTTATTTTTTTGTATTTTTTTTTAATAGTTGATATTTATCTTAATGAAAATTAAAAATAATATTTCATCATATGAGTTTTATTATAACAACTAGTATTTGTGTTAACAGTTTTATGAGATATAAAGTTAATGGAACGTCAGGTTACTCGTTTATAAAATATAAATATATTTTGAAATAATAAAAAATGTCCACTGCAATTATAAATATTTGTAATTTACTCGCGGTATCATTTGCAAGTTTTTATTTTTTTAGATTAAAACAAATTTATTTAATAGCTTACAAAATAATAATTTGTAAACCCATGTATTTTGCAGAGAAGTGGGTGGCACAGACGTTGGATTCTAGATCAATTAGTACTAAAAAAATATAATATATTATAGAAGCTATTCTTAATTGTCATGACAATTAATTCACTCGTTTTGTGCAATTATTCCAAGAGCTCGGATTGGTAGAATAAAATTAAGGAATTTCTGTTTCTTTACTGGGGGAAAAATATAATTCTCATTCTTTTAGCATCATCTTTTGTTTAGAAAATTGAAAGCACGTAATTTCATAGTTATCATTTAACAATATCTCTAAAAAGTAACGAGTAGAGTTAGTTAATTTCAAATTTTCTTTTTCAAAAAACATTGCTATTTAACAATAATTGTCGATCAGCTCTTTAAACCGTAACTGTTAAAATTAAATTTTGTCTTATATATTTTTTTAATGAAAATATAAGATCTATCTCTTTTGTCCCGCTTAAAAAAAAAAAAAAAAAAATATGTAAGTAGAATATGTTAGTAAATTTTTCTGAATAATTGCCATAGTTAAGCAATCTGAGGTTCTTAATGAAACTGTGTCTAAATTTGAGTAAAGCAACAGTTTTTTCGAATTCTTATTAAAAACTAGTGAAGTAAAAACAATTTTGCAACACTACCACAAATAGATACGTTTAGATATTAATCACAAATAGGTATGATCTCTGAATTTTGGAACTCGAGCATCACTGCAGCATGGCATTATCCGACGCAACATAAGTCAACTTAGTATCCACTAGAACGTAATTATACTAATAAAAATATTACTTTTTACAACTTTTTATAATTATATGATCACCAACCATAGTGCATCGCGTCAATAATATAATATAATGCATAATATTATACAGCACAGCGTTAACTATATCATGCTGTTTGATTTGGAACGCGGAAAGAGAAACAGTTAAAAATAAACAGTAACTTACGGAATACAGCAGTAAATTATATTAAGTAAACAAACTTTACCAAACGTGTAACTTTAACGTAATAAAAACAATATATCATAGTTTTATTTTTATAATGCACCGCCGTTATCTGGCGTCTATTTTATTAGGTACTACCTGTATCGCGTATCATATACTATTCAAAATAATTTAAATTAGCGATGAAAAGACCTAAGCAGATCAGAGAGCCTATTTGTGCGATATATTTTACACACTGTTCATATTTAAGGACTACTTTGTTTGATTTATATTTCAATGATATTTTCCTTTTTCAAGAGTATTATTTTCTACGTTTTACACTTCCCGTATATAAAGTTCATTAAAACATATAGGTAGGTATATCATTAATATACACACTATACACTACATACACACACTTATTTCTCCACGTTACCGTATTTTTATGCATACCCTTGTTCCTCCTTTCGAGCTCGAGTATGTTCTAGTTATTATAATACCTATTTTCGTAATAACTTCTACTACATTTACCTCTGTCTGAAACGTGCAAAACAAATGACACAAATATGGATGGTTCGTCCCCAAAGCAAGAACTTTGCGTTCAATGAGCGTGCATTCGACATCGTCATCCTCGAGTACTACGTCTTTTTTCAGACATTTAACCGCATAGTAGTACTCTGTTCCTTTGAGTTCGGCCAATAGTACCTGAAAAATATATTTAAATGCACATGGTATTAGTATAATGTTATAAAACTTTTTAGAGAGATTTCAATAAAAATTATATCACTCCGAAGCTAAATTATGCATCATAAGGTGTGAACGCAGTGGTATGGGGTTTAGGAGTTCAAACCTTAACTAACATATCTGAAAAATTTTATCAAAAAATGACTTGACCTATAAATATAAAAGTTATTTTAAAGTTTCCCGTGAGACTTGCAAATAAAATTTATAAATATATATGTAAATATAATATAAGTAATAAAGTATGTTATTTATCAATACTTTACATTTTTTCAACCCCCTCTTCAACATTTTATCTTATGTTCGTCCCTGTGAATCATATACGAGTGTTAAATGCTACAGTGATGGGTTTTATTTAGATAAAAATTATGTGATTGTGTAGTATGCCTACTTTATTATTTCAAGGCAAGCGTAAATGTAATACAAGTAGAAAATATTTGAAGAGTAGTCAACAATTTGTTTCTTTCATAAAAAATCCAAACAAACAAGTTTTAGTTTGATACATTTTAATTAATAAAATCGATAAATTTTACTCGTAAAGTTTTTTTGATATAAAATATAGGTAATATTTTACGGTAAGTAGCATACTACACGAGTACCAAAAATTGAATGTGCATTGTTTTGTTTTCCCCTCCGCCCTTTTTCGAACTCTTTTTTTTTAAGTAACAAATTAATATGCCATGCAGCTGGTTTTGGATAGGAAATAAAGCAAGTCATAATTTTATATGAATAAATTTTTATCTTGATTTATAATATTGTATTCCCAATATCTTTTAAACTATAGATGATTTAATATTTATCATTATACGATGAGTTATACTCGTAATATTACTACCTGTTTTAAAAACGGCGTGCTATTACAATTATATACAATACTCCGTATATAATTTTGCCTATTACCTGAGAAATTGTGTCATTTTGGGGAACAACTCATGAATTTTCCCATCTAGAATTAGGTATTCCAAAATCGATACATCATCAAAATATAAATACGTCTTTTATAAAGCCATTGACGTATTGTAAATCAGAAAAATTAAAGGTGTACTATTTTGACATATAAAAAGTATAAATTGTTATATTTTTGGACTGATTTCACTTCTTCCTACCACACTTTAATCGGAAATTTGGTAAAATGAGGCACTGAATCGTTAATTTAATAAGTGCATGCCGACAACCATACTCTAGAAAAAACTGAAATGACGCCACTGTACCTAAGCTTAAAAATGTAAACCAGTAAATTTATAAATCTTAAATATATTAATTTAAATTGATGAAAACTAAGTAGTTGAACACAGTGCTGTCCTTGTGAGGGGAGGGGATCGCATACTATCTATCACGAATATCACTTTATCTATAAATAATCTTATTATTATTCTTATTATTCAATGTATACAAAACTCCCATTGACTATTGAGATGTCTTAAGAAAATACGCGCAAAACAAATACACGTGTTACGTCACCTACTCATACCTTTCCAAAACTGCCTTTCCCGAGCACTTTTAAGAAATTAAAATCCTCCACTGCGTACTTCCGGAATCGTGGTATACTAGTGGCGGGTGGTACCACTCGTTTAGGTCTTGAATGATGTCGATAACTGTAAGAGCGAAGTGGTCGTTCGGCTCCATCTGTATTATTACCGATCTGGTATGAATTAGCCGCTGTATCTGACGATGACGATGACGAATCTAGATTCACACGTGCCACAATAACAACAATAATGCGACATTAGCTGATGCGATTCACACGCGAGGTTTTTTAATTCCGATTAGTATTAACATTATTAGTATTGTTACTCATTTCAAAATGTCTAAAATAAAAGATATATTATATAGACTATACTGAACAGTTGACGTAGTCTTTATTTCATTCAAATGATAGTATGCTATTATCGAATAATTATCGAATTAACTATCGGACAGTATTGAAAATGAAAATTGTCGAACTTCTCAAATGTTGCACTATTTTATATCATTTTTAATGCGTGTTTTGATTCATTTGTTGTGTTGTTCTACGATATTTATAGAAAAATATGCATTGCATACAAACTGTTCTAGAAAAACTTAATAAATGGCTAAGGTTAGCAAAACTGCTAATTGAAAACGTTAAACTAAAATAAATGACATATATCTTCAAAGTTTAGATTTAGTATAGTATTATTTATAGAATACGTTCTAAATTATAGTATTATATTACAGAAATTATTTTACTTCTACAATATTCTCGTAAAGCTTATCCTCATAGATCGCAATATTCTATTATTTCTCAACTCTTATTATAATTATTATTTTTTTAAAAACTAAAATTTGAATAATACAATTTAAAACTGATTTGATATAAATTTAAATAAAAACATTTAATAAATTATATTATTTAATAAATGTTTTTATTTATACCAATTTAAACCATCTACAAAAGTAAATATATTGCATTCAAGAATTAGTAAATCACCCATTTGTTTATATTTTTATGTATATGTCTTTAATAAAATATAGAAAAATACAATTTTAAGGTAGGTACTTGTTAAATACATTTACCAAACGTAGGTATATTTTATAATAATAAATACAAAGTGTAAAAAAACTTTTAAGAGTATACTAATGGAATGTTATTTTAAATAATACGCCCTTTAAATTCTGAAAATTATTTTAGTACCTTCATTAATAATGAATCATTATAATAATAGTGCCACTACCACACATAGTTATATATTTTATCTCGAACGCGATGGTAGCATATACTTTAATAACGATAAATATTTTCATTTATTTTTTCAAAAATCCATTAGAACGAAGACAAAAGTTTTTGGCTACGTCACTTTACATACGACAGGTACAGCTGATATGGCCAATATTAGATAAATATTTTTAAAATAAGTGTGTTATTTTTGGTGAAAGTTGCAACTTTATAAGAACACGGAAACTAGAGGAAAAACACGAAGGTGCACATTTTTTTTTATTTATAACACACACACACAATCGAGCGTGTAGGGGGACAAATGCCAACAACAAATATCAACGCCCGACACGACGCGATGCGACGTCGGCGCTGATTTCGGAATAATTTATTACTATATCCTTCTTCCAACACGGTCCAATGCACAATATCGTGTATAAATAAATAATTTTTAAAGATAATACGAGTACTGCATTAATATTAGTAAGACAACAAACGCTATACTACATACATGTATACGTTTGTCCCAGTCCCTATTTTTTTATAAAAATTCGTACTACACATTTTTTAACGTACAATGGTATAATACAGAGCCTCTTTCTACCCCCTTCCATATGATTATAATTTTTAGTACAATGTCAGTAATAATTTTTAGTAGTTCTTTTTTATTAATCAAATTGCACATTATAATTAGGTTACTTATGTATGTTATGGATCTGAAAACTATTTATAAATTATTTATTTTAATGTGAGGTGTATAATTTAAAATTGAATAGATATATTTAAGTCCTCATCAGCTGTCTTGCTCAAACTAGCTTCCTGAAAAATACCTTCATAGTAGCGTTAATTATTTGTTTTTAGTAGGTAGGTACACACTTCTCGAATCCGTAGTTCACACTTCCAATTTTGGACTACACACTTTGTGTCGGGGTTCACTAAAATATAGGGGCTGGTTTGTCCATCGTTTGCGTTTCAGTCGAACGCAATTGTTTTCGTTTGAACTTTTAGTTAAAATAATAATCACGCTCGATAGGCAATCGTATTAAATCGTGAATATGAAAAAAAAATCCAAACACTCATGTTATTAAAAACAAACAAAATCATTAGTATTTATTTTAAATTACGTAGTAAATTTATCAAAACGTTTCTTAACGTTTCAAAACGTAATTTCTATGTAATCGTGAAATTATAGTGTTACATCAAATAGAAACGTTATTATATAGCAGTGAGTAGTTTTAGTATTGAATTGTATAATGTATTAATAGTGAGTGGAAAGTGCTCTGTGAGTCGACGATAGGACGAACAAGAAATAATACTGAAACCTATATTCTATTCTCTCACATGGTAGCAAGGGTTACCTTGTTTGAGGGTAGCTAGTGCTTCAACTACCAGTTTTTGATTGACGCCACATAAGTTTGGCATCAGCTTCTCGCATTTCCTATGGCAATTGACGTCACAATCTAATGCGTACACATACACAAATAACCCCCACTATAATTACCGACTAATGCATTTATGAACAAAACACATGTCCTAACATATATTCTATATGGTATTTTAACCACGTATTAACTACCTTTGAAATATGTTACATACAGTGTCCCTAGAATTTTTATGGAAACCCTAGATTTATAATCTGTGTAGCACATAACTAGTGGAATTCAAAATCACTTTAAATTTCAATAGCATCCACACTTTTAACTTAATATTTTTTTGAAAATAAATATTGGAACTAACATTAAACAACTACAGTACCTGCCATAAAACTAAAAAAAAATTAACAAAACGTGAAGTTATTATTTAAATAAGAATGTTATTCATATACTTTTTTTTTTTTTGTTGTTAATCAACTGAAAAGTTGAATAACAACAACAAAAAATTTATAATATATAATTAATAAAGGTAATTTATTAAAAATTTATCCAAGCAAATATACAAAAATTCAAGTAAATTCATTAACGTTTAATTCGTTTATTTATTACTAGTAATAGTAAGTATATTTTGTATGGTTGCGCACTTTTCCTAAGAATCCCTTCTATTTTTTTTTCTCCTGTTAGCAGTTCAAACGCTGGTTAGCACTGATTCACCAAACCCTCCTCTTATGAAAGCTTATACATAATCCATGCGTGATATCATACGCGCAATATCTATTATTACAAATTTAAGGTTTCCACATTTTCTAGATATACAACGAATAAATAAATGTATATTCGATATATTATTTATATACAAGTAAAAAAAAATGGAATAACCCGTTTTACTCAGTGGCTAGCTCTTTTTACACAATATCTGCAACAGGTCCGCGTGTTTATGATTTAAGAAAGCGTCTAATCTTCGCTAAAGAAAACCAAAAGCACACGTATACGATACATATACATATATATATATATTAAAGTGTTGTTAGTTTCTGTGATAGCGGTGATGATTTTTCTACCTATAGGATCTGTTGCGGGTACAGGCGAGGATGGCAAACCAGAGTCGAACGAGGAAATACTGCATGCTATTCTCTTGTTGTCACCGTAATCATCCGAATCGTAGTACGTGCTGCCGCTACTGCTGCTGCTGCTGCTGCTGCTGCACAACGATAACGTTTCCTCGTCACTAGACGATTCATCGTCCGACGACAAATCAGGAGACTTGTTTTTAGATGACACCGTTTCCGGGAGCGACGGCGGTTCCGATGGTGGCGCCGTTTCCGGTTTAGCTTTGGGTTTCGGTTTTTCAAACTTGCTCTTTGTCCTGCTCACTTGCGACGGCGATATGAACGTCTTGCCGAACGAAGCGCGCACAAATGGTGTTATTACAGTCGCGGTAGCTACTGCCGCAGGCACATCCGTCTTTGAACCTTTTTTTTTCGATTCCTGATGCGAAGGTGAAGTTTTTTTTCCCTGTCCCGGTTGTTTTTCTTGCTGCTGCTGCTGCTGCGTTTCGCTCTCCTTCTTTTTTATCACTTTTTTCTTAATGATAATTTTCTTTTTCACCACTTTTGTCTTATTCTCCGACATGCTAACATCATCTGAATTATTATTATTATTATGAATCTGATTTTTGTTAATGGATTTCACATGCTTTTTATTTTTGCTTTTGTTGCTGTCATCATGCATCTTGGTCACTACGTTATGATTAGCGTCGAGCTTACCGTTATCGCTGCTGTCGCCGATACCATGGCTGTCGTTATCTTTTTTCATCTTATTCAACTTGAAAGTAAAACTTACCGGTTCTGTTCCGCTCTCCTCGATTATCACATCGTAGTTCAATTTCCAATTGATTTTCTTCGACGGACTCTCCGGCTCACCAAAGAAAATCATTGCACCCGCAGCAGACTTCTTTCTAGTATCCTTAGTCTTCTGTTGCTTTTTGTTGCTGTTCGTGTCCACTGGATAACTTTGACGCCGTCCTTTTTGCTCCATTGCGTCCATTTCCTCCATGATCATCGTGTCGAACAGCGCTTCCTGCTCGCGCAGTATTTCGTCGGTCACGGACGGCCGACGGTCATCGTTCACCGGTACTTTGATGCCCGCGGACGTGTGTCGTTTTATGGTACCTTTTTTCGCCAATCCCTCCTCAGGCACCGCGGAAATGCTGCATTCCAGTTGAGGGAGCTCCGTCGGAGGGAGAACGAGCGTCATTACCTTCGGTTCATCCACATGTGGCTTTTCCTTTCCCTTAGTCATCGTGTGCAACCGGACCACCGTGCGACCGCGGTGTATGTTGCCCCCGGCGTTGTTGTTAACGATTGCGTTTTCCATCGTGGAGGGACAAGGGGCCCGCGGTCGTCGCGGTGACGTCACATCGATTTCCGAAGTGTTTATGTGCACCGGTCGTGAATACTGTCGAGCAGCTACCGCCCCGGGGCCCCCTCTGCGTATGGCTCGCAGTGTCTGTTCGACCGCCATCGAATTGTAATTTCTCGGCTGTACCCTTATGATTGGTCGGCTACTGTTCGATGACCCGGGGTAAGGCAGTAGTTGACTGTAATACTGAGAGGAGAACGGAGCGGACCCATGGTAATAGCCGTAGTCAGAAAAAAACGGCATCGTGCAATAATTTATGTTAAGCACACACTACGGTCTAATCAAAAATGCATTTTATTATATAATTATGTTTTATTAGTTTACTAACCGAGCTAATTACGGGCTTTGAACATTTTCAAAAATAATAATAAGCACATTTTGAACACGATACTGATGCGATATTAATACGCGTTGAAGACTAAACGCGCTTCCCGTCAGAACGTACGGCTGAACTGATGTCTTGGCACGTTTGGCAAACACCGAAAGCGAATTAAACGGATTGAACAGCTGCCAAAAGAAATTTAAAACATTAAGACCCGAAATGCTTACATACATAATATGTATTATATTATGTATATATTTTTGAAATATCCAAAAAATTATTCCTGATCTTCTTTTAATAATTTATGTTTTTCAAATCTCACTGTCCATTGGTTGACCGAACAATATTTATTCTATGAATTTTTTCCCAAAATATGTATAGTCTGCCAGTTGATGTTATTGGTTTACGTCTTCCTCCAACAATTTAAATACCATTACATAGATAAATGCAGTCTCCGTTAACTTAAAAACTTAAATTTAAACTCGTCACTCATCGGACGTCAACGGTTTTGTATAGGTAACACAAAAAAAAAAAAGAAAAGAAAAACATTACACCGGACAAAAATAGTTAGTCTCACCTAGATTAAATCAAGGTCAATGTACGTACAATAAAAATGAAGCTTTTTCGAGGACTCAAGAGTTTTGTGCGCGTTATGCATAAAAAGGGATCATTAAAAGTACCCATTTGTGAATATAAATTGCCTGAAACAAACCTAAACCCCCACGTTCTAAACTCTACCAAGGTCAATCTCCGCTAGTATTATATATGCGAAAAAAATACTATTGCCAAGCATTATTGCAAGATTTCAGTATACAATTTTTTGTCAAAGCGCCCACCTGAAAACATCAAATCATCTAAAAAGAAGACCAAACATAATAAAATAGATACTTATTAATACATACGACATTTTTGATAGATTAAACTTGGCAACTGTGAAAAATGCTGACACAACAATTTATGTTTACATTTGTGCGGGTAATATGTAAGATAACGCAGCCTAATATTTATTATTTTTTTTTAGTTTTTAATTATTATAAATCTATTAATTGAAATTTTAATTTTTAAACGAAAAATCTGAATTATGTATTTTATTTTTTTAGTGTTAATACAATTGTATTAGCTATCAAGTACATATTCCTTACATAGTGACAAAGACTTGTTAAATTTATTTAATAGATATTAAGGGTATGTTTATTATGCACAAAATACTTTCAATTTATGCGTTAACCTAAACAATGTGAACTTTGAAAGTTAGTCATAAGGAATGTTACTTTATGCCAAATGTCTTATGGGAGGAAAAAATTCAGATTTATGCTACGGTAAATTGACAGATTGGGTATCTTCCAATAAATAACATGCTAGCAATGGAAAACTGCTGCAATAAATGTTAGAAGGTGGTGATTAAAAATTGATTGCACTTTTTACTTGAAATCGTCATATATAATCTTAAATTGACGTACAATGCATGTGGTACAGTGAATGGCTTTTGAAAAAATTTAATTTTGGCGAAACGTCAAGCTAAAAATGACTTAGTCCGGATTGATTATAAAAACATATTCTTGGCACATCAGAAGGCGAACAATTTTCGCAATTAAATTTCTAGTGATAATCAACAACATTACAACTGACTCTTGATTGTTTATTTACTCAAAAAAAACAATGAACCCTATCGCGCAAAATCTTTCCTTATCAATTCATTCATTGCAAAACAATGACCACAAATGCTTTTGACTTTTTAAAAGTATAAAATAATAATTAAGTGTAAAATCTATAAATTTACTCGGTTTTCAATTGGATATTTGCCACGAAAATTTTATATGATGTACTTACAACAACATCTTTCCCATAAATTGAGCTAGCCACTAGTTATAGTAAATTAATTTTATATTAAAACAATAATATGGTTCAGAACGTTTTTATTCGTTATAAGGTGTATACTGTATATCAATTTTAATAAGTTTTACCTTCACATTTGAGACCTTGTTTGAATAACCCATACAATAATGAACCACAGTGATCACAAAATGTTGGTGACATGAAGTTGTATCCTTTGAAACGATGTGGTACATCTATTTTAAACCGTTCTCTTAGATACTGTAAAATAAATAAAATTAACCTATATAGTTAAAACCAAACATATCAAAAGTAAATAGATTTATAAGTTAAATTTGCAAGTTATAAATCTATTTATATATTTATTTATTTTATTTATTTAATTCTAAATTTTATTACCAACCAAACTTATTTTTACCAGGATTATAATACAGATAAAAATTATAATTCAAAGAAATATACCCCCTAAAAATATATCCCCTTCGTATACGAAATTTGTGAATAGTTAAGAAAAATTAAAAACTCTCCTCATTCTTAATTAAAAATGTAAAAGTTATTATTCATAGTATTTTTAGTTCTGCCAAGTAAAATAAATTGATGGTAATTAGTGATTAGATTCATCATATATCAATCCTATATTTATAATAAAACTGTTTCAAAAACACAATATAAAATATTAAAATTAGGGATATCATAATTAAATCATGTAAATATTATAATTTAATCATTAACTTGAATATACACAATATAATAAGTTTCACCATGTTTGTCCCTCATTTTTTCCTTAATATTATTTTTAAAACCAAATTTTATCAAATTTAATGTCTACTTATTTTTTAAAGAAACTACTATATCCATCAAGGAATTAATATTCATACAATTAAGCGTTTTTGGCATTCAAATAAAATAATTTATAATTTATCACTATTTTTTATTGTTATAATTACAATTACCTTCACAAATAACATTAATATTATACTATTACTTATTGTAATTTAATATTAAACTTCCTTAAGAAAAATAAGGACTACAAATTGAACAAATATTCAGATTTTTAAAACAAGAAAATACAATTTAAAAAAAAAAAAATGTTGACAAAAGTTTAAATTCCAAAAAAGAAAGGGAAATGTTTAGTCCTACAAAATAATAAAAATCAGATTTTAAAATATAATTAGCTCAAAATTTATTAAGCCTATCAACTAATCTAATACTTAAAAAAACACCCTACTGACTAGACACCCTAAAAGTCTCGGATTTCTAATAATATAAAACAATTTTTGATTTTATAGACAAGTATGTATGTTAAATACTCCATACGAATACTTAATTATGATACAATCGTTATAACGTAAATAACAAATTAAAAAAATAAGTTAACAATTTAACTTAACGATAAATATATTTATAAGTATAATTTTATTGAATAATCATATAGTATATATATTATGAAAAATAAACTTGCTGCACATTTATACTATGAATAACTTTGCTTATATATATTTCTTTGTGATGTTAAATAAGAAATAAAATAAAAATATATAATCTATAGTTTACTTAAAAAAATTAAATTGTTTTAATTCTATAAAATACTTGAATACCAGTAAACGATGAAAAAAAAACCCAAGATATTTTTGATAAGTAATCATACAGAAAATTTTAAAAACATTTGGCAAGAATATATAATTAAATATTAATAATAATAAGAATATATTAATTAATATTACAAAAATATTGATAACAATGTTAAAGTAATTGATAAAATTATATTTTTTTATCTATTAAAAAAATGTATTATTATTGAAAAATATAATTTAAAGTAGTATGAGAGCAACTTATTGTATGGCGATGTGGATAGTTGGAATTAGTAACGCCGAACTCGGGGTTCAAGTCTGGTTATGTTTTTAAGGTGGTGAGTGGTACCGTGAAGGATTAACATATGAGTAATAAATTAATTAATCTAATTTACTATAAATTATAATACTGCCTATTTAATAATTACTATTTAAGACGTTTAAATACCTAAATGCTGTCATAAATGGTTAAACAAATAAAATACCCCAACCCCTTAAAGTACGTCCTTGGGTGGGGTAGGTTGTAAGTTGTAAATTAGGTGAGTATTGACCAATTTAACATTTTGTTCGATGCCACTAGCTGAAATAGGGGCTGCCATGGGCGTCCCCTGACATTTTTCTAGGGGGGAGGGGGAGGAATTAATTTAAAAAATAAATGAAATTTTTTTTATATATTTTATTTATAGTATATTATTATATTTCGTCATTATTACAATTAAAACACTACAATTAGATATTATTATAATACATTAGTCTTTTTCATTAAATATAAATTTCAATCTCTGTGGATATTCTCTACCAAATTGTTTCAGTGCATTTTCAATAAATTTTTCTTTATCTGAATTTACTTTTTCTCTATGAACACTCAACATGCGTATTCCACTCAGTCTATCATCACCCATCGTTGATCGTAACCATGTATTAACACGCCTTAATGTACTAAAAAACGTTCTGCTGTACAGCTTGTAGCTGGAAGAGACAAAAATATTTCCAAAGCAATAGCTATACTTGGAAAAAACGTACAGTTACAATTTAACAAATCGATGAAATCAATATTTTGGCATTCCTTATTTTGCCAAAAACTATACCAACTTTCTGCTTCAGCTTATGGATTATCAATTTTATAGAAATCGAAAAATTTTTCAATGCTCTCAAAACATATTTTTTTCTCCAATTTTTTAAAAATGTTGGGATGAAGATTTTGTAGTAAAAATGCATTATCAATTTTTTTTTTCAAAACGCTCTTTTATAGATTATAAAATTGATTCAATATATGGTATAAAAATTGATTTGAATTATTCTAAAAATAATTTTTAGAAGCTAATTTCTCATTGGGAATTTTACCAATAGCTGTGAAAAAACATTCCAGTGGGGGGCAAGTACCCCGTCTTGCCCCCCTCCTGGGGAATCCCCATGGTGGCTACTACAAATAATTAAAAGATATAATTAATATTTAACAATTTTTGTTTTAATTACTTGAATAATAATTACATCTTAAAAATAATCACAAATTTTTAACTACTAGAAATTCAAACAAAAATATAACCTCACTCACAAATTATATATATATCAAAACTTTCTTTGTATAAAATAGTAAAAACAATTTATTAAAAAACAAAATTAAAAATAAAACATATTTATTATATTACCGCACAACAATCAAACATCACCGAAGATGTCTTATTGATACACCATAATAAAAACCAGAAATCCCTATTTGTACAATATCTATTTATTTAATGATCGAATTTGTCTG